TTCCTGATCCTTACTAATGTCCTTTTCCTCTACTTCTTTTGTATGTTTGTCACTCTCTTGTGACCAGCTATTTCCGGGGTGCCTTGATAGTCGAAGCAGACTTTGTGCTGTTGAAGCTAGAGAGGTGAGCAGTCTAAGTCTGATTCCCTGTAAAGACTTCTCTGTTGACACCCACCCCTTGCCGCTCATATGACCTTATGTAGTTGCGAGGGCCGTAATATCCTCTACTAAATAATATATAATCCTCTTCTAAAACAAATATAGTGAGGCAGCGTGGTGAAATCAGGCGCATGCCAAAATAATGAAAGTCAAGATATTGGCATTTTCCCGCAGGTTTTGGAATTTTTATCCAATTTTTGTTTTTTGGCACAACACCTTTCATGCCCATTAAAGAGCACGTTTTGGTGTGGATCTTCACTGAAAAATGTTTATTAAAGGCAGAAGAAACGTACATTTTTAGTTTCCACAGACTCTCAAGCTAAAGAAATAACTCAACTTTGGCGGCCATATTCTCGCTAATTTTCTTCAATCACCCATATTTCGACTTCTATTGAACATAGATGGATATTCTTTTCATCCAAGACAAGGAAAATGGACAGGCCTTAAAATGATACCATCCACTACGTATGCCCAAAAATTGACGAGAGCCTGATTCCACCGCCTCGTGCCAGATATATGAGGCATGCTGACAAAATGAGGTGCTACTTGGATCGTAGCCCTCTGAAAATAAATATGTCAAATTGAGGTAGATTGTACATTTTAAAAATACAAAAATATGTGGAGATTTGTAATATGAAATGAAATAAAGAAACGTTATGCTGGAAAAAAATGGCATGAATTGAAGATTTACCAGTTTGACGTCAGTGTTGATTTTCTGCCAATATCTCCATTCGTGGATTGCAAGAAGTAACTCATTTTGTCAGCACGCCTTACAATCTTTTTCTGTGTAAGCTTTCTTTGTCTCTTTGATTTTTAGCCCACTGCTAGTTTTAGTTTGCAATATTCATCAACACTCTTTGAAATTTGTTTTTTTCGCCAGAGTCCGTCTTGGGTTCTCAGGTGGATTTTTTCACTGATGCATCTGCCATTGAAACGGTGATCCAGTTCAAGGTTGTCCAGAATGCTGTTCCTCAGATGTTCTCTCTGTCTTTTGATGCTGCCATAAACAGTGAGCATTCCTTGTGTGGTCCTTATTAACCGTGAATGTTTTAACTATTACACCATAGACATAGACGTACTTTTTTCCCTTCGTATATATTTCTCCTGTGAAGTAGAATGACTATTATGATTTTTTTAAAAATGCAAATGTCTTTTTAGTGAATGGTATGTTTAGCATTAGATAATGCAGTCCTCACCTCCTCATTGTTCGTTTATTCCACATCCATGATGCAGTCAGCTGACAAAGGTAACTGTGGCATGTGGGTTATTGAAGCTTGGGTTCAAATGAAGTCTGATGTAGTTACAACCCCACTCCATTTTCCACCCTTCTGACAAACTATCAGCACCATTCTACTATCGTCCAAATCCATTTTGGGGGTTATCAGAGGAAGCCTTTATTTGAATAAAGACACAACGGGCCATCTTACAATGTAGGCCTACTTTCATTCAGTATTGTTGTTTTCTTCCTTCGTTTTTAATTGGAAAAAAACCATACCGAAACAAGTTCCTAATAGTTTTGATCTGGGCGCTCCTTTTAAAAAAATTTTCTCAAAAGGTAAAAATATTACTGAGGCGCTTGTGCAAGGATGCTGACAATATTCCTGTTCCGACGGATATCCAGTGGTTGGTTGGCGGGTGCTCTGGTGTGGTTTGCTTCTTCTTTCCTATCAAACATCTATCGTCTTTATCTCCCCTCCTTCTT